TTTGTAAGATTCCAGTTTTTACTGTAAGCTTCATTATTGATTCTCTATATCTGTTTCACTAAAATCAATTGATTTTTATGTAAGTGCTATTCCACATTCTGTTTGGTTATTACATGGTTCTGATATAGCCATTTAAATAAGTTAATAATCATTGAGATAAACATAGTTGGTCTCAACAATACGGTAAGCATATCTCTTCACAATGTTAATATCAAAATCAATGAATTTTTGTTATTGTTGTTTATAGGGAAAAGAATCATGTATTGGAATGGAATCAAGTTGATGATGTTTCTATTAGGAATCGAGTCTGCCAAACCATTTGTTATTTGAGTGATTAATTGTTTTTGTTCTGCCAAATGGTAAGCATATCTCTTTACAATATTAATATCAAAATCAATTAATTTTTGTTGCTGTTGTTTTCAGGGAAAATATTCATGTATTGGAATGGAATGAAGGTGAGGATGTTTCTATCACACACCGAATAGATCAAAGAACTTCTGCCGAAGTACAACATGAAAGCCCAAAAACCATGGTTGTTAGAACGAGGATCAAAAGATATTATTGTGCGAGGTTTGGTAATGGTGAATGGCGAGGATTGGTACCATAAAACCGATTTTAACCATAGTTATGATAAAGGAAAACAAATATTTACCTGTTAACAGTTCTGCAACAAAAGTGTGCTAAAGTTAGTCGCCACTTATTCTTTTCTAGGAAGTAGATATGTTTTTTCATGCTATATTAATTTTCATATTTATTAGTTTTGATGGTATTGGTTGTTTCCCTTTTTGTTGATCATGTTGTATTATAAATTTATCATGATAAAGAGGTTTTTATTTATGTGTTTACTTTGTGAGATTCTAATTTCTCATTGTCACATCTATGGAAGAGATGAAACAACCAAGAGTTGTCATTCCAAAGTATCAATTTCAATTTGCTGGTCTTCATGATCTTCAAAATAGATCAAATGACACAACTTTATTGTCATTTATAGTTAGTTTGACTTATCCATATTCTAAATGTATAAAAAATAGCTTGATATACCAAATTTAATCAATGATATACAAATGTTATTGGAATTTTGAATGAAATAGGAGAAATAGAAGAAATGAAATCAACAAAGAGTAAAAAAAGAGACATCAGATTGCAGATTGAACAATAAGTTCTTCTACTAATATCATTACGTCAGAATCCTACATTATACAAGAATACTATAGGAGCTCTCCAATACTTGACTCTTACAAGACCAGATATTTGCTTCACTATGAACAAACTCAATCAGTTTTTGCAAGCTCCAATAGGCCTATAGTGGCAGGCCTATAAAAGGGTGATTAGGTATATTAAAGGTACCTTAAATCATGGATTGTTATTTCAACTAGCAAGCTCTTTGCAAGTTGAATGTTATGCTGATGTAGATTGGGGAGGTAGTCTACAAGATAGAAGATCAACAAGTGGTTTTTGTGTTTATTTAGGACATAATTTGATTTAGTGGAGCTCCATGAAATAGGAAGTTGTTGCACTTTTTTCCTCTGAAGCAGAATATAGGGCATTAGTTCATGCAGTTACTGAGATTGCTTGGATGTATAGTATTTTCACTGAACTTGAGCTTAAATTTGCATCCACACCTATCATTTGGTGTGATAATGTTAGTGCAAGAGCTCAGGCAACCAATCCAGTGTTTCGTGCTCGAACAAAATACATTGAAATTGATGCTCACTACATCAGATAACAAGTGTTAGCCAAAAGAATTGCAATTCAATATGTCCCTTCCAAGTTGTAAATTGATGATCTGCCCACTCAAGCTTTATCTATTACTCAGATTGCTGATTTAAGAAAGAAATTAAAAATGATATCTTTTGATAGCTGTGAATCGGAAGTAGCTATTGATTGATGTTGAGTTGAAAAGTTTTGAACTTTTGAGAATCTTGGGGTGTTGTTGATTATTGAGTTGAAAAAGCTCAGTTAATTTCTTGGTTTAGAGCTATTGAAGCTGAAAATCTTAGTTATGACTTTGTTGTGATTTGGAGTATGCTGTTGAAGCTGAAAAGCTCAGTTGAATGAGCTACAAATAGTGTTAAGCTACTGGTGCTTGTTAATTTCTTGGTTTTGAGCTATTAAAGCTGAAAATCTTAGTTATGGCTTTGTTGTGATTTGGAGTATGTTGTTGAAGTTGAAAAGCTCAATTGAATAAGCTACAAATAGTGTTAAGCTACTGATGCTTCAACTGTTTTTCAATTCTTTAGGTTCTGTAGGAAAATTGATCAATTTGCTGGGAATTGTTTTTTTAATTATGGAAAAGTTAGTGTAGTTCATAGTAGTATTGAAAGGTTTATTAGTGTGATGAAAGTCTTGTAGAGTTAACAAAAAATAGTGATCAGAGGTAGTTCCTTTTGAGAAGGCATATTGGTATTATGAAGTCTTGCAGAGTTAACAGAGAATGGTGATCAGAGGTAGTTCCTTTTGAGAAGGCATATTGGCCAGAGTCAATGGAGATTGTCGACTAGAATGAAGCTACAAGTGTTAGGAATCGATCTACTCAATGCAATGGAAAAACAAAGATCAAAAGGATGAATTGATTCCTTTTATGCCAAGATTCGGGTATCGATTATATAGTTTACATGTTTAATCAAAATTCTGCACAAAAATAATATTAATTCATTCAAGGATTAGAGATCTTACGCGTGTTTGAAGGCTCTTTAAAATGTCTTTGAATTTTTCTTTGCTACTGATTCAACGTAGAACCGCACGAATGGTGATCCACACAAAGACAATCCGAAGAACTATCCCTTGTTTTGCTAGAACAAAGGGGTGGCTTCAAGAATCAAGTTGAATCAAAGAAAAACTTTGATTCACACAAAAGGAAACGTGAGAGAGTGAGAGTAAAGGAGTGGCAACCTTTTTTTATTCAATAGTGATTGAATGAATAATGAATGAATATTTTTAACTCAACTTGCAATTATATAGTGCTAGAGTTAAAACCCTATTCCTATATGGAATAGACATGAGCTCCAACCCTAATCCACCCTTGTATCCAAACACCCTTGTTATGGTATTTTATATTTAATTAATTATTATTATAATTAAAATCAATTAATGTATTTATAAAATATATTAACATTTAATTAATAACAATAATTCATTTAAATATATGCGTACATATATTTAAATATAATCTCAATAATTTAATTTTAACATTAAATTAAATACAAGCAATAACCTCAGAAAATTTAATTGCACTGTGAGATTACCAAAATACTCTTTCATCCTAAAAGACGAAAAATACACCTTGAACAAAACGATTCTTAAATTATCTTATAAGTGTGTGACCTGTAGGCTCCTCATTATGTCGCCAGTGAGTAGTATCACGATTAACACCAATTAATCGTCTCACTACACAGACTAAGATTGACCCATAGCAAGGCATCATGGCCACCCGATAGATTCAGATTCAGCGAAATACTTACCTATCAATGATATGGTTACCGTACAATCAAATCCTTTCATCATCTGTTATCTCATCGAGACTGAGGTACATAAATAGTGTCAACCTCAGTTACTCTTGGTATCTTTGTATTCAGTTACTAGACCAATGACTGGATACATAAATTGGATTGAACAACAACTCAATCCCATTATGGCCACAGATTTAGTGTCATTGCCATTTACTGAATTGCGCAGTGAGATAACTTCTCCCGTACCCGAGAGTGATGAATCTTTTGTCGATCCACCATAGTCTTGATACACTCCTCGATGCAGCCAATCACTATCATATTGATAGCTTTGAATAGAACTATGTTGTGCTAGTGTCAAACTACACCAATCGATGCATAAGGCGCTCCAGTGATCTCAAGTTTAAAAATCACATGCACCACCATTCGTTAGATGAATTATTCCCTAGACACTAGGCTTGCCATCTATATGGAATCCTCTAGCGGGTTAGTCTAGTGAACTTGCCTATAGCAAACACCAATTTGTTGCACCAGGTTGTCGGTAAACAATCTTGACAAGTGAGATCAGTCACTGCCTTTTGACAGGGTCGTTCAACACTATGATAGCCTTACTGTATTATCTGTGTCCTTGGTCAAAATAATACTGGGGCTACAAACATTTCTAGAATGGCCAACATATGTAATCGTAGGGTTTTCACTATCAAAATTTGATACACTTGATACCCTCGTCATGGTTCTACCATCCTAAAGACATATCAATATGATTTACACGATATAGAATAAAATGTCTTTTATTGATTAATGAACATTATTACAAAAAGTTAATTTTACAACAATTGATTGGCTCTAGGGCAACAATTGATTGGCTCTAGGGCACCTACTCTAACAGCAAGACGCTAATGTTTTCTATGTAATGAAAAAGTAGTTACTGTAGCATTTTTATTCAATTAAGAATTAATTAATAGAGTTCAGTGATTCATCAAAATACTCTCTCTTTTTCGTTTTCATCCCTTGTTCTTCAATATTTACAATGTGATCATAGGGTTCTTACAATCAAGTAGGGGTGGGATAAAAAATCCGAAAACCGAACCGAACCGGTAACCGAACTGAAACCGAACCGAAAATTAGGTTTTTTTACAAACTGGTTCGGTTTTCGGTTAGTAAAATTCAAAAAACCGAAAAACCGGTTCGGTTTGAAAAATTGCAAACCGGGTAACCGAAAACCGGTTTTTAAACCGGTTTTACCCTACATATAAAAGCAAAATTTTTTTTTTTTCACTCACGCAGTCACGCACACGCTACAAGCCTTCAACAACACCATCCACATTCGTCTTTCAATCTCTCAGCCTCCAGTCACCAAATCTGCAAAATTTCAAGATTCAAATCTCTGCACTTCGTCGTTCGCCGATCGTCGTTCGCCATCAGTGAGCTATTTCATCGTTTGCCAGCACCCAACACTCCAACAGAGTCACGCCATTGTCCCACCGTGAACAGAGTCTTCTCTCCAAGCTTCGATCTGTCGAGCTTCAGTCAAGTCAAGCCACCGTGAACAGATCACTCTCCAGTCAAGCCACCGTNAGCAATTAATGATGGGCGAAATTTTTCTATATATAGAAGAGTGACAGATAATTGTGAGAAGAGTAACAAAGTATTTTCACCTGGGGCTATATATCCATAAGTGCCCGCTAATATGGTTCTATTGGAGGAGTCAGGATGTAGAAGTCTAGCCAACCCAAAGTCACCAACAAATGCCTGCATTTCCGAGTTTAATAGAATGTTGCTGCTTGATATGTCACGGTGAATAATTGACGGAGTGCAGTCATGATGTAAATATGACAAAGCATGTGCAACACCCTTGACTATATTCACTCTCTTATTCCAATCCAATCTAGTAGCTTCACTAACGTTGCGTAGAACATTATATAAGCTTCCACTCTTCATGTATTCATAAATTAAAAACATGCATTTTTTGTGCAAACAAAATCCATAGAGTTTCAAAATGTTTCGATGTCGTATTTTGGACAACAGGTTAGCCTCATTTCGGAAAACCTTTATGGATGCTAAATCCTCAATTTCCGAATTATGAAGCTTCTTCAAAGCAACTACTTTGCCACTAGGCAATTGTGCTTTGTAAACACTGCCATAACCTCCAGATCCAATGGAATATTTGATGTCAAAGTCCTCTGTTGCATCAATTATATCTTGAAATGCAAGTCTACCATCAAAATTCCATACTGAGCACACATCTCCACTCTTAGATGATTTGGTAGGGAGTTGACATCTTTTATCCATATGTTTGAAGAGAAAACAAAACCCAAAAATCAGGATGAGAAATGAGATGATTGGAACAAAAATTGTAATAAAGCGAATGACAATCTTTTGGGTTTTCTTTTCCAAGTTACTTCTTGTAGATGGTGAAGTTGAAGTTGAACTTAATGGTGAAGGTAATGTTAAAATTGAACTTGAATGTGAAGCTGAAGGTGAAGTTGAAATTGAACTTGAAGGTGAAGGTGAAGATGCTGGTGGTCCATCGCAAGGACTAAAACCTGTAACTTGACCACATAAACCTCTGTTGCCAATAAGCTGCTGCCATGCATTTATTTGTTGCAAGGAAACAGGGATTTCGCCTTCCAAATTATTATATGACAAGTTGAAAATTGTAATAATAAATTCAGGGATGATACCGGAAAAGTTATTGTAGGAAAGATCTAAGTATCCTAAGAACTGTAAACTGCCAATCTTTAGTGGAATGCTTCCATTAAATCTGTTGTGGCTCAATGTCAAGACCTGCAACTCTGAGCAATAGCCAATACTAGCTGGAATGGGACCGTTAAGTTTGTTATAAGAGAGATCAAGATATTCAAGGTTGTAAAGTACTCCAATTGTTGATGGTATTTGACCACAAATTAGGTTTGAGGAAAGATGGAGATATCGAAGTTGGGTTAACTAGGTTAGTTCTTTGAGGAGTGACACCATGCATGTGGTTATTTGATAGGTCTAAGTAAGTTAAACCATTTATACTCCCTATTTCTGGTGGAACTGAACCATTGAATTGGTTATGACCTAGATAAAGCTCAACCAGATTGGTTAAATGACCAAGTTTTGAAGGAATAGATCCAATCAGGTTGTTATCATGCAAATCCAACAACTTCAGATTCTTTAGATTCCCAATTTCTTGGGTAACAAACCAGTGAGTTTATTGGAACAAAGGATCATATAGTTCAGGTTAGCTAGAATACCTATACTTGAAGGGATTTGACCATCAAGCTTGTTACTAGAGAGGTACAAAAAGCTCAACTGGGTTAATTGACCAAGAGTAGAAGGGATTGGACCATTGAGATTGTGACCACTCAAACCCAACTTCTCCAGATTCTTCAAGCACCCAATTTCTGAAGGGATAAAACCTGTAATGTGACAAAAGAAAAGGGGCATATATATCCAGTTGTTATTAAAAGGTAAAACTAGATAGAAAAATAGCTCTCACCTTTTATATTGTTGTTAGACAGGTCAAGGAATATGAGGTTTGGAAAGCAAGAGAAGTTGAAACGGGCAAGCTTCCCTGTTATATTGGTGCTGCTTAAGCTTACTCCATTGATGCTTCCCGCTATGTTGCAAGATACACCATACCAAGTGCAACACCATACCAAGTGCAATGATCAGAAGAATTGATGGCTCGCTGTTTTGCCATTAAGCAGGCCTTCCTTTTCTAATTGTATTGATGATTTTTCAGATGCTGCCACAAAAATATAAGCAACAATAGCAACATGGTATATAAACAGAGTAACCCATGTCACTATCACTCTGTAACTGGAGGACATGGACAGTTGGACACAATGTTTATTAATTAACTCCATTCTGGTTTGTCCTGCCTCAAGAAAGTCTCATTTCTCCATAAATGTTGCTCTATACAGCTATATAACTAATCGACATATCCTTAAGTAGAACTTAAATTATAAGAGTCCAATATAAACTTATCTAACTCCAGAATTTCAGTGCCCGAGACCAAATGCACATGGTATCTCCTGTAAATATGGGGTTGACTCTTGACGTCAAAGGTTTTTGAGCTTTTTTTCTAGGATGGAATCTTCAAGTCAAAGTTTCGGCGTTGACACAGGCGCATTGAGTCAAGGTCTTATCATTTTTGAAGATGGAGATTAGTGCTGGGTATTCCTCAAGTTTCTTGTTGTCTTTTGACTTTCATATTTGTTGTGTCTTGGCAGCTCAATCTTAAGAATTCATTCTCACAAAAGAAATTCAAGGTGACAAATCTTTTTTCGACAGGCAACTTTAGCTTAATGACAATAATGTCTCTAGGGACAGAAGGCCCAAGTAAAAGTTCAATTTGCTCGTTATTTACAGAACTTAAAACCTGTACGGTACTCAAATTGACAGTAGGAAAATCTATACTTAGATGGTGAAGCAGGAACTACATAATTACTTCATTATAGACAAGACTGCCATGCTTAACAATCACATTCATCAATCAAATTGACACCACCCAACCTGACCCTCCCTATCCCACAGGCTCCGCGTGCACCCATGAGACTCGGGCGACCGAGACGTGCCATGTGAAAATCGACAAAACTTGTAAAACTTGTTTACTGAATAAACCTTTCGTAAAACATTCTCTTGGTTTCATCATGAAAAACATGACACATAATATATGCATATTTAAAAATCTGAAAACATATCACGTTCATTTTATAAAACCCAAATAGTGAGGTATCAAATTTTCATATCTTTTAAAATCAAAACATGAGATAAACATATGAAATAAAACATAATTCTGCAGCGGAACAAACATGACATTTTACACACATGATGAGTCAATGATGTATAGCCCAACCTCGAGTGAAACTCACTCCTCGCTCCTCGGCACAATCTTCCTGTAAAACTGGTTTTTGGGGTGGGGTGGGGTGGGTGGGTTAGTGAATACTATTTTTCGCACTTACTAAGAACACTTTTAATGCACATGGTTGCAATTCTCTAAAACCTTTCATGGGAACTGAATATAACGTGCTTAAAACTCTTTCCTGAAAGTAAAGTATATAACCGTAAATGCTCATGTTTCTAAAAACAATGTTTCTAAAAGTCATGTTGCAACCATCCAAACCCTCATTCAATGAATGCTTATGATACTGAAAAATAATAACTCTACACTATATTATAAAAATCTGAATCACACCTGAAAGCTAAAATTCACTTTTCTAATAATCATTTCAGAGTATTTAAACTATTTCTCATTAACTGATAATCATAAGCTACTAGCATTTCTGGAACAACAATTAAAAAATACAATAAATGTTCATGCTTGAAGATTGATACTCATGCATCTCAAATTACACAAGCCTTTGAAAACAACATTACTAAAACCATAATTCAAATATCTGAATTGATCTCATAAAACCAGCATTAATAAATGATAATTATTCTGATGATATGAAACTGAAAAACTGATTTCTGAAAACTATGCACTGATAACTGATTTCTGAAAAACTGTAAACTGATTTCTGAATACCAAAAACTTTATGCTGATAAATGAATGTCATTCTATTATTCTCAAAACTCATGCTAAAAGCTATAGCTTTTCTAAAAAACTACATTTCTATAAATATGTTGTAAATATCTAGAAACATTTAATATAACTTATGTAAATAAACTAAAGCGGTTCTGATGCTGAAAAACTGAATCTTATTCTGATACTCTAAAACCGAAAACCAATTCCAATACTAAATCTGATAACTGATGACTGAACTTTAAACTAAATACTGTAGCTCTTACTTATACTAAAACTCTAAGCTGAATACTGTTTTACCACTGAATACTGAAAACTGTTGTCTGATTCTTAAACTGAAAAACTGATTCTGATACTAATAACTGAAAACTCTCACCACAACTAGTATCCAGGGCAAATCTGTCATACCTGGTGGGCACTCATAGGTAGAGCAAGGGACGAACTTTGCATGCCCGGCAAGATCTCATTGTGTGGGTAGAGCCTCAAATCTGTCATACCTGGCGGAAAGCTCATCGTTCAGGCAGAGCACTGAAAAACTATCATATGCATGCGTAGAGCCATAAATTAGATCTGATAATCTGTAACTCTAGGGGATGGGTACTTCGCCGGGTGGCTTGAAAACCGCTCTTATCTCATTTCTCTACCTAAAACCATCATTTTTCATAAAACATAGACCATATCTCATATAAAAGTAAATCTTGCCAAACATATGAAATTTCATGCAGAATGGGGGTAAAATACAAGTTTTCAAACAGAAACTAACTAAATGCACTCCATTTTCCCTTTTACTGGCAAACTCTTTACCAAAACATCACAATCTCAACTCAATGTGTAATTCAACAAATTTCCAAAGCGTCAAAACTCCCTTTATTCAAGCATTTCATCACTTCTCAAACTTTCAAACAAGGCAACTAACCATTGCATGCTTAATAAATATTCAAACACATTCAATTCAATATAATCGTAAAAAGAAATATATATATAATTTAAATTAGTGATACTAGAATTGACATGCAATCATGTGTCCACACTAATTATTGCAACGTGCAAGCTTAAACACACAACGTTTCTGCACATTTCTAAGTCCTTCTCCAAACTACTCTTCAAACAACAACAATAATCCATCTCTACCATGTAAAAAACTTTTCAATTATTCAATTCAAAACATAGTTTCCAAGTAATCGAAAAACAGTAAACTTTAGGATGACATGCAAGCTTTGAAAATTAAAAAATTCTAACAATGCTATTATCTCGAAAACATATATATCTTCCTTTAATAGCAAAACATACATGTTTAACAACATATTATATGCAAAACGCAGGGGTGAAAATGCAAACTAATAAACATTTTCAAAAAGTGACATGTAAACTCATTTTCATTTTTCCTTCAATACCATTTCAACAACCAACAACTGTCACCACCCATGAAATCAACATTTCCAAATTTTAATATATTTTCCAAAATTGAGGAAAATCCACCAATGGCACATCGAAATCAACATGATGGAGAAGCGATTTAAATTAATAAACTAAGGAAAAATCACATGAAATTTTATGAGGGTAATTACCAAAATTAATCAAATATGGCAACATGCAAACTTACATTTTTGACTATTCTGAACAGGTCTAACGCTTCCTTTAACCACTCTTCAAACAATAATATTAACTTAGCTCTCTAGTAACCCACCTTTTAAAATAAAACATTTCAACCATAGTTTCCAAATAATTTAAAATTTTAAACAAAACAATTAGCTTAAGGAAAAGACAATGCAAGCTAAAATCTCAATTGAAATTTTTTCCACTCACTCTTTAAGTAGCAAAACTACCTCCAAATTAAGCCAATAGACCACTTTAAAGAACAAACCACCAAATACACCTTTATGGTTTATACATATATTTAAATAGCATGCAACATGAAAACTCAACCCTTGGGAACGAGGTCTAATGCATTTTCACCCAAAAAATTAGCTCAGCCGAAACATGCAAAGCAAGATTTAGCAAATATCACACTTAACCCAATATTGCACCAAAACGTTATAATAGCAATCAGTAACTTGACATGCAAACAGGAATTAAGTTTTTAAAAGACTTTTCGGCTAATTCACTCATATTGGCTCAGCCGAAATGGAAGGGTAAATTCACCAAATAATCACACTTAACACAAAAATTACTTCAATCATTGAAATAGCATTATAAAATTTAACATGCAAAGGCTTTAATTTAAGTTTGAAAAGAATCCTGGTTGAATCCTATTCACAATTTTTAGCTCAACCGAACTTTGAAAGGAAACCTCAAGCACTCTCTTCCTCCACACCTAACACCAAAAAGGACAAACAATTAATCTAAGTACTAGTCTAAATTAAGCAAAGGGGGAGGAGATCCATCAATCCAAACACATGCAAGGGTTACCCGAAATAAAAAATGGTGGGATCTGCTTCAATATCTCATGATTCTCATCCTCCATCTTTGCTTCACTCTTCCTCTCTCACTCTATCTCTAGACCGAAACACCTCTTTCTTTTGTGCTCTTCTTCTTCTTCCGCTCTTCTTCCTTCTTTTCTTTCTCCTTCTCTCTCCTGTCTGGGTCTTCTTCTTCTCTCTCAGCTTCTTCTTCTTCTTCTTCTTTCATTTGG